GGAGCATGTGGACATTTCTGCAGATAATCCCAGTCGTGTTCAAGGAGTTGTCAGACGGACTTCTCTCAAACATCTCATACAGCTCCAGCGCAGGCAAGCTGTTCTGGGATACAGGGAACGGTGCGGTCTCGGCGGAAAGCTAATGATCCCATTGGCCATCTTGTGCTTGGTAAGCCACTCTGCAGTCTTCCGGTAGCTGTTTTTCTCGATGCTGAAGTGGACACTGACCACTGGGAGGACCTCAAAGGAAGACAGCGCCGCCAGCGACTCCCACAGCAGAGTCCCACCGCCACAGGCCTCGGGCCAGCAGCCAGGAGCTGCCACCCCCAGCCCCCATCCTGGGGCCCCCAGCAGCCCCCAACCCCGCCCCACGGGCCCGGTGCCATGAGTGAGCTGGAGCAATTGAGACAGGAGGCCGAGCAGCTCCGGAACCAGATCCGGGATGCCCGAAAAGCATGTGGGGACTCAACACTGACCCAGATCACAGCTGGGCTGGACCCAGTGGGGAGAATCCAGATGAGGACCCGGAGGACCCTTCATGGGCATCTGGCAAAGATCTATGCCATGCACTGGGGGACCGACTCAAGGCTGCTGGTCAGTGCCTCCCAGGATGGGAAGCTCATCATCTGGGACAGCTACACCACCAACAAAGTTCATGCCATCCCGCTACACTCCTCCCGGGTCATGACCTGTGCCTACGCGCCCTCAGGGAACTTTGTGGCCTGTGGGGGTTTGGACAACATCTGCTCCATCTACAGCCTCAAGACCCGCGAGGGCAATGTCAGGGTCAGCCGGGAGCTGCCTGGCCACACTGGGTATGTGTCGTGCTGCCGCTTCCTGGATGACAACCAAATCATCACCAGCTCTGGGGATACCACCTATGCCCTGTGGGACATTGAGACAGGCCAGCAGACAGTGGGTTTTGCTGGACACAGTAGGGATGTGATGTCCCTGTCCCTGGCCCCTGATGGCCGCACGTTTGTGTCAGGCGCCTGTGTGTGACGCCTCTATCAAGCTGTGGGACGTTCGGGATTCCATGTGCCAACAGACCTTCATTGGCCACGAATCCGACATCAACGTGGTGGCTTTCTTCCCCAACGGCTACACCTTCACCACTGGCTCTGATGACGCCACGTGCCGCCTCTTTGACCTGCGGGCCGATCAGGAGCTCCTCATGTACTCCCACGACAACATCATCTATGGCATCACCTCTGTTGCCTTCTCTCGCAGCGGCCGGCTGCTGCTTGCTGGCCACAACGACTTCAACTGCAACATCTGGGATGCCATGAAGGGCGACCGTGCAGGGGTCCTCGATGGCCACGACAACCGTGTGAGCTGTCTCGGGGTCACTGATGATGGCATGGCTGTGGCCATGAGCTCCTGGGACTCCTTCCTCAAGATCTGGAACTAATGGCCCCAACCCTGCTGGGCCCAGGCCAGGAGGGACCCTGCCCACGCCCACACTACACTCCGGGGCTGTGGAGCTGGGGGCACTCCCAGCCCCCTTCCCTGGGCCACAGGGCCTTGGGTCCCTGCCCTCCCACCCAAGTTTTGTTCCTCCCAGGGCCCCCACTGTGGAGATAAGGAGATGGAATGGGGGAAGAGGAGGGGCAGGAGGCCCTCATCCTTCTGCTGCCCTGGGGTTAGGGCCTCACCCCTCTGGAGGGCCAGAGGCAGGAGGTAAAAACCCCAGGGGCTGGCTTTTTAAAAACTGGTTTTATTTTAATTTTTATTATATTTTCAGTTTTTCCATAAAGCAGCCAATTCCAACTCTGAAAAAAAAATTTTTTTTTCTTATTAATACAGTATTTATTTGTCTTTTCTCTGTCAAACCCTGAGCCAACCACGTTCCCCAGGGTACCTGGGGAGGCATAGGAAAAGGAACACACAGGGCTGACCATGCATGGGAGAAAGAACTATGGGATATGGAGACGGCTTCTTCACATGGCGAAGAGGATGAGAAAGGCCACCATCAGGCAAAAGAGCCCCATGGCCTCAGA